TTGCTGGTGCGACCAACACTTGGGGCGGTTGGACAGAGGTGAGAATGGCAGCTGCTACCTGTGTCACCGGCAGATTCACCCCAGCCGCCATACAGTCACTATCTAGCTACCCCGCTGTTCGTCAAATTCTGGCTGTGATCTCATCATAGGTCCTGGACTCATGGGCTGTGTCCCCAGACCTTCACCTATTGACTGTCAATTCTCTGGTCATCTACCACTACCACGACCGTCAGTTCATCTCATTCCGTCTGTGCCCCGGTGTTCTCCTGCCATTTCAAGACGTCGCTCGAGTGTGGAGTTGAATGGACGCTTCCCAACCCTGAGTGTGGATCACCGTGTTCCAGAACCTTCCCCCAGGGCCACTGCCGTAGGAAATATCTGTTCATTGTTTGATTCTATCAGTTGTTGACTCCCATTAATTGTTTGATTCTATTAATTGCTGACTCCCATAAATTGTTTGCTCCCTTAAATTGTTTGCTTCCATTAATTGTTTGACTCCATTAACTGTTGACTGCCTTAATTGTTTGACTCCCATAATTGTTATTTGATGTTTGTTGAGTGGTGTCAGAATTTTGTGTTATATTTTTTATAGTAAAGAGATGTCAATCTCGAACAGTTGTTTGTTATTCCTCGGAAAACCCTGGTCCTTGACTTTCCTTTATTAAGATCCTGATTGGTCTGGTAAGGGATTTCTATCTCTAAGTCCCAGGCCTTTACAAAGATCTTTACACCTGCTGTCCCCTAGGGACTTGATCTCACTCTCCTCTACTGTATATATTAGCCTTCTCAATTATTTCCCCTTAGTCTGTACTCACCCCTGAAGATGTGAATTACCGAAAGCGCTTGGGAACTTCGTATTTTCTTGTTAACTTGAAAATACGTAATTTGACAAAATTTTGGTATGACTGAGGCAGGTCATAAGTGCGGGTGGTCGTAAGTTGAGTAGGTCGTAAGTCGGGGAGGAGCTGTATGTATATACATATATACAGGCATCCCCAGCGTTACAGAACTCCGGGTTGCGGAATTTCTTTCTTACGGAATTTGTAAATTATGACCAATAATTTCACGATACGGCCTGTAAATCCGCCCTTATGGAATTTAACAATTAAAAAAAAATCTATATAAAATTAAAAAATTTTGTTAAAAATTATAATTTGTTTGGTGTGGATTTCTTGGTGTTTGCTACCGCCAAGCGTGGCAGAGGAGGAGACAGGGCTGGGTGGGTCATCAATGTCGCTTTCTTCAGACAGGTTTATGTACTGTGGAAACTTGCTGGTTGAAGGTATTGGATCATCTTGAGGGAGTGAAGAGGCAGCACTGGTGGGGCATGAGGAGACAGCACTGGAGGACTTCTTAAAATAGATGTCCAATTTAGACTGCACAGTTTGTTTTTTCTTTTCATTATAAATTTCTCTGTGGCAAGCAAGTGCATCTTGGATCATTCTGTCAACTTTGGCATAATGCTCATAATTTTGATCCATGCCATCAAACATTTGCATTCCTCTGCCATTTGTTTCACTGAAAACTTTTTGGGGGGTACAGATTCTTCTTCTACATTTTGTCTCTCTTCTTCCTCTGCAATTTTCTGTGCATCTAGTTCAATAAGATCCTCGTTACTGACAGACTTGACACTCACTCACTTGACAAGTTTTACCAACCATTAGTTGTGTACGTTATCTAGTGAATTTAGTCAATATTGTACAGTACAAGTACACTGCAATACAGTGGTCCCTCGATTAACAATGGACCTAAGTGCAAACCTGTACTGTACATGTACTAAATGATTGCAGTACTAAAATTGTTATGTCTATTGCAAATATAGATTGTTTATACAGGTATTCAAATAATTCACTATCTTACAAGAATCCCAGCAATGTAAGTTATATTCACCCAGGTCGTTAGGGTGGCAAATTATGAGAAGAGCTTAGTTACTCTTAAGTAATAATAAATAAACACGCAGGCCTTCAGCGCCATCTGTCAAATCTTATCTCAAATAAATAAACAAACACCAGACTTTGTCACCTCACCTCCCCCCCCTCTTCCCACGCTCGCTGGCTACCTCCCTCCTTGTGTTCACAGACAAAAGATTGGTGATTTCTTTATGCTTTAAGGTGTTTATTTTGTATAATATCACAGACTAAAGTTAGGATAATATAATTTACATTGCTGAAATCCTTGCAAGACAGAGATTAATTTAAATATAAACTTACATATATTTTGATCAAGATATAAAAATTGTAGTGCATTAGTGTACAATACTGTAGTACATTTTATAATATAAAGTTTTTCAACTGTATTTTTGGGTAGATTTACACAAATTTCTTCATTTATTTTCACCCATTTACATGCACACACCAAACTAAAAGAAACATAAAAGAAATAAATGACCTTAGTGCAAAGCTGGAGTGCACATGAACTAATTTGATTATGGTACTAAAATTGTTATGTCTAGTGCGAATTATTGCATGTTTATATTCAAATTAAACAGTATCTTACAAGAATCCCAGCAATGTTAATTATATTCTCCTAGGTCATGTCACTGGCATTTTAAAATGAGAGAAGCTTAGTAGGACTGTTAAATAAACACACAGAGACCTTCGGCTAAAACTGTCAAACATCACCTCAACCCCCCCCCCACCTCGCTGGCTGGCCGGCTCCGTCCCTCCCTCTCCCCCAGCCAGGGTTTTAGGCTTACCGTACAGTTTTTATCTATCTCAGACTAAAGTTAGGAGATTACAATTTGCATTGCTGGAATCCTTGCAAGACAACCAATAATTTGAATATAAACGTCATATATTTTGCTCGAGATAAAAAATTTTGTACATTAGTGTACAGTACTGTAGTACATTTCATAATATAAAGTTTTTAAACTGTATTTTTCGGTAGATTTACATATATTTCTAATTTTATTTTCAGCCATTTACATGCACACACCATACTAAAAGAAATGTAAAAGAAATAAATGACCTTAGTGCAAAGCTGGAGTGTACATGTACTAATTTGATTACAGTACTAAAATTGTTATGTCTAGTGTAAATTACAGCATGTTTACATTCAAATTAGTAATCAGTCTCTTACAAGGATCCCAGCAATGTTAATTATATTCTCCCAGGTCATTTCACTGGCATTTTAAAATGAGAGAAGCGTAGTAGGACTGTTAAATAAACACACAGAGACCTTCGGCTAAAACTGTCAAACATCACCTCAACCCCCCCCCCCCCCACCCCTCGCTGGCTGGCTCCCTCCCTCCCTCCCTCCCCCATCTGCTCAGCCAGGGGTTTATTTAGGCTTACAGTTTTTATCTTATATAATTTCTCAGAGTAAAGTTAGGAGATTATAATTTGCATTGCTGGAATCCTTGCAAGACAGCCAATAATTTGAATAAATACATCATATATTTTGCTCAAGATATAAAAATTGTAGTACATTAGTGTACAATACTGTAGTACATTTTATAATATAAAGTTTTTCAACTGTATTTTTGGGTAGATTTACATAAATTTCTTCATTTATTTTCATCCATTTACATGCACACACCATACTAAAAGAAACATAAAAGAAATAAATGACCTTAGTGCAAAGCTGGAGTGCACATGAACTAATTTGATTATGGTACTAAAATTGTTATGTCTAGTGCGAATTATTGCATGTTTATATTCAAATTAAACAGTATCTTACAAGAATCCCAGCAATGTTAATTATATTCTCCTAGGTCATGTCACTGGCTTTTTATAAGAGAGAAGCTTAGTCACTTAAGAACTGATAAATATACACGCGTTAGACCTGGGCCGGTGCCAACTGTCAAACGTACTACCTCCCCTCCCCCCACGCCCCCTCCTTCCCTCCGTCTCCCCCATCTGCCCAGCGTTGCTGGAATCCTTGTAAAAAGTGAATAATTTTAATATAAAAGTCATGTACTTTGCACAAGAGATGAAAATTAATCACCTGTATCACATTACAGTAGTGATTTAAGAGTAAAAGTGTAGATGTACGTACATAGTATTCCACATGCACGTAAGTATAAATACAAAGTTTATGTGATGATCAGACAACGTCCATTTCGGTTAACATCATGTTTCCAAGAACGTATCTAGGACGTTAACCGGCGCAGGACTGTATATATATACAGTATATTGTTTCAATGGGATATTAGGTAATTGGTTCCAGCTCACTGAAAAGTACATGCAAAGTAAAAACAAAATGCAATAACGTACACTTACTTTGAGGAGTGTATGTAGAAGGCTCCTGGTTGATGATGATGATGGGAATTAGAAGGAAGTGGGGATGAAGGAGAAATCATCTTTCAGGGGACCCATGCTTGATGCAGTAATTTCACCAATAAAATTTTAAGTTCACTCGGTGTAATTCGAGATTATTTTATTTAAATCAACACTGCACTGCACTATTTATTAGCAATATGTTAACTAAATTTCAGAATGACCAATAATTTTAATGTAAAAATGCAAAAATATTCAAGACACCAACAAAATCGATGTTCACTCCACTGTAAATAAAGTCACACTGATGCCTGGTGGCTGAGTCAAGCGGCTGATGGGTGCACAAAAAACTAGTTCCCTCTACTGCATATAATATCAAAATGTTAACAATTTTAAAATGACATAGTTTTAATATAAAAAATGCACAGATATTAAAGAGCACAACTTTCTTGATATTTACTCGACTGGAGACGAATGTAAGCATAGAACAGATTACTGAATTGGCAGACTAGCCCATCAGCTGATGCCCACAACAAAATGTGTTTGTCGTAAGAATTTCGTTAATCAAAGTTTTGTTCGTTAAATGAATTGAAGATCCTTATGGGAGGTAATTCATTAACCGAAATTTTTTTAACCGAGGGACCACTGTATAGGAAAATGTGGTTTGTTACGGCCACTTTTTCAAGAACACATCCATTCCATAATGTGGGGGAAACTGTACACAGGAAAGGGCAATGGTAGACAGCATCTTGATCCTCTTAGTTTTTCAGAAAATGATCAAGAAAATTTTTTTTATTTTACTTATTTATTTGTATAGATAATATAATCATGTAGGGAAAACATAATATTGTGAAAAATAATTACATTGAAAAGCAGAAATAAATTGTGTGTGAATGCACAACATCAATACTACATATTAACTCAGTCATGACTTAAAATGTTTGTTTTATTCTACTCTACAGTAAAGTGAAATGACAGGCTCTGATATATTCTGTACCTATATCATTAATATATTATATATAATGGAACATTATCTGTACCTATATCATTAATATATTATATATAATGGGACAATATCTGTACCTATATCATTAATATATTTTATATAATGGGACAGTTCATTTGTCAAATGTCAATGAAGAAGTCATTAATACATTTGGCTCTGGGACAATATAAAACATCGATTGCATAATTTCCAAATTGTTTACAAGGTTAATATTCTCTTTACATGTAAAAATATAAAAATGAATTAAAATAAATACAAATATTGTGATGGTGAAAGATTGAATCTTTTTCTGAATTGCCTCCAACAGACAATGTAATACTGTACGTACAGTACTGTACTGCCCTCAGATGGAGGCAAGTGCTTGTGTACTCTTAATTATAGTTAAGACAGCACACTATTATTCCATTTATACTGTTATGATAATTGCATTATCACACTTATTTATAATACATCATTGAATGCTCAACAGTTATCTTTGTATATTGCTACTCGCTCTTGACAGCATTGGCATCAGGTACCCAAAGCCCCGAGTCAACGCAGCGCTTCATGTGATGAGCTGCTTCCTCTGGGGCCATCTTCTCTATTGTTGCCTGTAGTAATTCAATGTTCTGGCTCTCAAAACATTTTTTCAGCTCCTGAAATAGAAAAATCAAATTCATTAAATGTTACCATAATTGTCATGATCTTGGGTTGTTAATCAGCCCCAGGACTCGCCCATGCATCCCCTAGTCCACATCTTGCATAAATAGTCAGAATAACACTTGTCACCATGGCGGAAGGAAACACATTAACCTCTTGGAATTACCCACTCTGAATCCCCATTTCCCAAGGCCCGCCACTCCACGGCACAGACTTTAAGTTCACCTGAAATGCTTAAGCATCTATTTCAAAGGGATGTATATGCCAAAAGTGAAGAATCCTAACTCTCCAGTGAGGATAGTGAGTGGGAGGATGTGGCACTGCTTCCACCAGCTCCAGCTCACTCACACACAAAGGCTGTTGCATTACCCACGCCAACTACGCTGCCGTGGGCTGCATCTCCTGCCTTACAACAGCCTGATCCTCCTGCTAAGAGACAGCGTAGGGGCCTACAAGTGCATGGGAAGAGATGGCCTTCCCCATATCAATGTTCACCTACTCAAGCACCACAACCTGTACCAGCTAGTGAGTTTGTGTGGCGTGATTGCCAGAATTATGTGTTTAATACCTCAAACAAAAGTATTACTCCAGATGCAAATGTGGATGATGATAGCAGTTACTTGAATTATTTTTTTTAGTTTTTTGATGAGACACTGATCAGTGATATAGTAAGTGAAACAAATAAGTGTGCCGAATACAAAGTGCCACTGTGTATTCCAGGTTTCTCTGAGTACCACTCGCAAACACTTCTAACCCAAAAGCGAGTGGTGAATGTACTGTTTAGTATAATAATAAGGAACCATGTGTAGGTGTTATGAAGTTGTAAGAGTGAGTTGGTAGTGCATCATCATCATGTCTGACAGTTTGTTCCCAGATGTGCAATAACTGCCAGAGGGGTGCTGAGCCACGATAACTTGCCGACTTCTCCGACTCACCAACAACCATAGGTGGTGAATACAGTGATATAATTACAGGCAACCCTTTAGATACGATGGGGTTATGTTCCAGAAAAACCCATCGCTAGGTGAAATATCATAAATAAAGGAGCATTATAACATGGGGTTCAATGAGATATGTTCCCAGCCAGTCCCCAAACACACATGTATCACTGACAAAAAATTTCCTATACAACTACTATCAGTACAAAACAAGTAAACAACACTCACTACATCATACTGGACAAGTCTGGTCATCACATGTTCCCTTCGACGCTAAGGGGACTCTTGTAGGTGAAGTGGAGACGTTACTGTGACTCCCACACAGCCTCTGGGGGAGTCTCATGCTGCTTAACAATGTCAAGCTTCACCTCAGAGACACGGTTGTTTTGAATGCCTTGGCCTTTCCAGACATTTTCAAAGTTACACTGCTCACTTCATGGTCACAAAAACAGAGCAAAAGTACTCGTCACAATAACAGAGTGAACGATGATAACATAAAAACAATGATAACGGCCGACACTGCTCACATTTTCAAAATAGGAGAGGCCAAGTTCCTTACAGTCACAAAAACACAGAAAATATCACTCCACAGTCACCATAACACAGTTCAATCTAATTGTTAGTGGTGTCCTCTCACTATACAGGTACTCCACGACTTAGGACCTACTCGACTTACGACAACCCGGACATACGACCGCCGTAGTCGTATAAAAGGATGATAAGGAGATGCAAATGTTTGAAGAAATGGATCAAAATGTTGAGCGATTTGCAAAAGTTGACAGAATGATCCAAGATGCACTTGCTTGCTACGGGGAGATTTACAATAAAAAGAAAAGGCAAACTGTGCAGTCTAAATTGGACATATATTTTAAGAAGTCCCCCACTGCTGTCTCCGTACGCCCTTCACTCCCTAAAGATGATCCAATGCCTTCAACAAGCAAGGGTGTTAGCCTGTCTGAAGAAAGCGAAATTGATGACCCACCCAGCCCTGTCTCCTCCTCTGCTTCATCCAATTAATGTAGTCTCCATGTTTAATTAAAAAATTATTGAGGCCCCGTGTGCATTCAGCTGACTACATTAAAGGTAAGTGCACAGTAACACTTTACTCATTTTTCATTATTGATTTATTTTACTGTACCATATTTCATTTTAGAATTTCTATGTATTATTTTTGCATTTTTGACTTACGACTAATTCGACTTACGAACTGGTCGTCGGTCCGAAACCCCGTCGAGGAGAAACAGTATAAGAAAAATAAAACACCAATGATAAGTACAATGTAAGATACTGGCCAAGAATTATGGAGCCATGCGATGGCGGGTTTTACGATCGACAAAGAGCCAGACACAGCTGTAATGCATGGGTCGGCCATGTGGCGACACGTGGGTAGGCTGACAAGTGAAGGCAGAGATATGTGGTGCATAGGGTTAAATATTGTTTCCTTATAAAATGTCACTGACTTGATGTAGAAAAATATAACTTGCATTGCTGGAATCCTTGCAAGACAGTGATTAAATTGAGTACAGCTAATCCTCGACTTACGAAATACTCGACCTACGACCACCTGGACATATGACAACCTCAGTCGTACCAAAAAATTTTCAAATTACGTATTTTTGAGTCCCAACGTTAGTGATTGCGTTGTGTACTGACAAAATTTTCGTTTGCAATTCACTTTAAAATGGCTGGCAAGCTTAAAAGTGAGAGTATTGTGGTGCTGAGAAAAAAAGAGACACCCATTTTAGATTTTCTATGTATGATTTAAGCATTTTCGACTTACGACCTGGATTTGGGTCCCTAACCCCGTCATAAGTCGAGGAGCAGCTGTATATACATCCCATAGTTTACACGACAGATTTTTCTTTCAACCAATGGCTATCGATCAAGTGTGTTGTTTTGATCATATATAGAGAGATGGGGTTAGTTTATAACCATCATTAAAGTGAAAAATCACATCTCGGGGTTTACCTGTATGTTTCTTTACTAATGACAACATGTATGTCTAACATTTCATAAGACTAGAATGTTCATTTTATGATTTTCATTCTTTAGCCTACTCTTGCTCTGGAAGACTTTCTAAGGTTAGTTAGACCTTTAAGGGATTTAACATGCAATAAGCAAAAGGAACAGAATTTCATCACAACAGTACAGCTTGATACATGTTGTGTATAGTACTGTACTTCCAAACACATTCCCTGTCCCTTACTGGTATCTGTTGACATACATTTATCCCATCAACTGTCAATAAATTTAAGGAGTAGTAAATATATAATGTTAAAAAAGTTGCAGTGATAATGCTTTAACAAAATAAATTTAGAGACCAAAGAATATTCATAGCTGTTGTTAGTGTTAGGATGGTCAAACACCCACCAACACTACAGTACTTAGTCATACACCCAGAAAATACCTCTAACATTCACACTCATACAATATTCACTCATCTCTGTCATTTAAGGACAAAATATTCAGCAAGTCAGTTAAGGACATATAACTCACCCAAGACAGTTAAGGACAGATAACACTCACCTCAGGCAGTTAAAGACAGATAACACTCACCTCAGTCAGTTAAGGACAGATAACACTCACCTCAGGCAGTTAAAGACAGATAACACTCACCTCAGTCAGTTAAGGACAGATAACACTCACCTCAGGCAGTTAAAGACAGATAACACTCACCTCAGTCAGTTAAGGACAGATAACACTCACCTCAGGCAGTTAAAGACAGATAACACTCACCTCAGTCAGTTAAGGACAGATAACACTCACCTCAGTCAGTTAAGGACAGATAACACTCACCTCAGTCAGTTAAGGACAGATAACACTCACCTCAGGCAGTTAAAGACAGATAACACTCACCTCAGTCAGTTAAGGACAGATAACAGTCACCTCAGGCAGTTAAAGACAGATAACACTCACCTCGGTCAGTTAGGGACACATAACACTCACCTCAGTCAGTTAAGGACAGATAACACTCACCTCAGGCAGTTAAGGACAGATTACACTCACCTCAGGCAGTTAAAGACAGATAACACTCACCTCGGTCAGTTAGGGACACATAACACTCACCTCAGTCAGTTAAGGACAGATAACACTCACCTCAGGCAGTTAAAGACAAATAACACTCACCTCGGTCAGTTAAGGACAGATAACACTCACCTCGGTCAGTTAGGGACACATAATACTCACCTCAGTCAGTTAAGGACAGATAACACTCACCTCAGTCAGTTAAGGACAGATAACACTCACCTCAGTCAGTTAAGGACAGATAACACTCACCTCAGTCAGTTAAGGACAGATAACACTCACCTCGGCAGTTAAGACAGATAACACTCACCTCAGGCAGTTATGTTATGGTCAGTTAAGGACAGATAACACTCACCTCGGTCAGTTAAGGACAGATAATACTCACCTCAGTCAGTTAAGGACAGATAACACTCACCTCGGTCAGTTAAGGACAGATAACACTCACCTCAGGCAGTTAAAGACAGATAACACTCACCTCAGGCAGTTAAGGACATAACACTCACCTCGGTCAGTTAAGGACAGATAACTCACCTCGGTCAGTTAAGGACAGATAACACTCGCCTCGGTCTGTTAAGGACAGATAACACTCACCTCAGGCAGTTAAAGACAGATAACACTAACCTCAGCCAGTTAAGGACAGATAACACTCACCTCAGTCAGTTAAGGACAGATAACACTCACCTCAGTCAGTTAAGGACATATAACACTCACCTCAGGCAGTTAAAGACAGATAACACTCACCACGGTCAGTAAAGGACAGATAACACTCAGCTCAGTCAGTTAAGGACAGATAACACTCACCTCAGGCAGTTAAAGACAGATAACACTCACCACGGTCAGTAAAGGACAGATAACACTCAGCTCAGTCAGTTAAGGACAGATAACACTCACCTCAGTCAGTTAAGGATATATAACACTCACCTCAGGCAGTTAAAGACAGATAACACTCACCACGGTCAGTAAAGGACAGATAACACTCAGCTCAGTCAGTTAAGGACAGATAACACTCACCTCAGGCAGTTAAAAGACAGATAACACTCACCTCAGTCAGTTAAGGACAGATAACACTCACCTCAGTCAGTTAAGGACAGATAACACTCACCTCAGGCAGTTAAAGACAGATAACACTTACCTCAGTCAGTTAAGGACAGATAACAGTCACCTCAGGCAGTTAAAGACAGATAACACTCACCTCGGTCAGTTAAGGACAGATAACACTCACCTCAGTCAGTTAAGGACAGATAACACTCACCCAAGACAGTTAAGGACAGATAACACTCACCTCAGGCAGTTAAAGACAGATAACACTTACCTCAGTCAGTTAAGGACAGATAACACTCACCTCAGGCAGTTAAAGACAGATAACACTCACCTCGGTCAGTTAAGGACAGATAACACTCACCTCAGGCAGTTAAGGACAGATAACACTAACCTCGGTCAGTTAAGGACAGATAACACTCACCTCGGTCAGTTAAGGACAGATAACACTCACCTCAAGCAGTTAAGGACAGATAACACTCGCTTCAGTCAGTTAAGGACAGATAACACTCACCTCAGGCAGTTAAAGACAGATAACACTCACCTCGGTCAGTTAAGGACAGATAACACTTACCTCAGGCAGGTCCTCAAGCACCTCTAGAGGGTCAAGGCCGCCAGGACCAAGTCGAGCCTGTCGTTCTTCCTCCTCTGCCTCCTTGATCAACTCCTCCATCTTCTGGGCTGCTCGCTTCTGTACCCGCTGCTTGAAGGCCTCTAGTTCATCTGTGAAGGCTTTTTTGTATTCTGGTTCAGCCTGCTGTATCCTGCACACAAATGATTATGCAAACTTAAACTATGAAGTGAAAAATATTAAGGCAAGATATACTGTACAGTATATTGCCTCAGTTCAAGTACAGTGGTCCCTCGGTTAATCAACACAATTAGTTCCAGAAGGTCGTTCGTTAACCGGAATATTTGTTAACCGAAACCATTGTTTCAATGGGATTGTGGGTAACTGGTTTCAGCTCACCGAAAATACATACAAAGTAAAAAAAAAAAATGCAGTAAAGTACACTTACTTTGAGGTGCGTATGTAGAAGGCTCCTGGTTGATGATGATGATGGGAAATAGAAGTGGGGGTGGAGGAAAAAGGAGAAGAGAAGGAAGTGGGCGTGGAAGAGAAATCACCCCATGCTTGATGCTGTCATTTCACCCAGAAAATTTTAAGTTCACTAGGTGTAATTCAAGATTATTTTCTTTAAATCAACACTGCACTGCACTATATATTGTCAATATGTTAAATAAATTTCAGAATGACCAATAATTGTAAAAGATCTCTGTGTTCAAGAGCCCCACAAGCAAGATTTTTCCTCCACTGAACAGAGATACAAACCGAGGCCTTGGTGGGTGAGTGAAGTGGCTGATGGGCCCACCAAAAACTAGTTCCCTGTACTGCAATTATGTTAAATAAGTGTTAAAATGACTAAAAAAATTAATATAAAACTTGGAAAATTATTGAATAGTACAACCTTCTTGATATTTACTCCAATTTTAACGAATGCAAGCCCTAGAACCGATTTATGTATTGGCGGACTAATCTTCCAGCTGGTGAGCAAGCCAAAGCATGTCGAAACATTTACGTAAGATATTTCGTTAACCGGATTTTTGTTCGTTAACCGAAACGAAGATTCTTAAGGAAGGTAATTCGTTAACCGAAATTTTGTTAACCGAGGGACCACTGTAATTCATATTCTAATCATTAACATTCAAATTTAACAAATTACAGTCTGATACATAAAAAAATTATCAAATGAAGATGATGCATAACTTGAAACACTTGTTTTACACTCTTTAAAACTTTTCTTCACTCTGGTGTATGATGACCGATCTAAAATATCCCCATCCACTCTCATTCAGCTTAGTTACTAGATGTGTTGTGTTGTGGTGATCCCTTCGTAGGTCAAGGCCTCAAGATATACTGTGGTTTATCTCTGTTCTTTCACACATTACTAAAACATCACACACACTGTAGCATCACACATACTGCATCACACACACAGCATCACACACATTGCAGCATCACACAACGCATTATCGTAGCATCACACATGCATTACAACGTGCTGTGGCATCACACATTGCTGTGGCATCACACATTGCTGTGGCGTCATTGCTATAGCGCCACACATTGCGCCATCATTACTGGCAGCATCACATTCTGTAGCATCACACATTACAAACGCGTCACACATTGCTGTAGCATCACCGCAGCGGCATCCACACACATTACCGGCATTACACATTCTGTAGCATCACACATTACTGCCAGCATCTTACGTACTGTAGCATCACACATTGCACAGCATTACACATTGCTGTATACACGTTATAGCAGCATGCACATTACTGTGGCATCACACATTACTGTATCACGTTGCATCACATGCTGTTGCATCACATTACTGTTTATCACACACGTGCTGTAGCATCACATTACTGTAGCATCACACACATTACTGTGGCATCACACATTGCTGTGGCATCACATTACTGTGGCATCACACATTACTGGCAGCATCACACATTTACTGTAGCATCACACATTACAGCAGCACCACATTGCTGTAGCATCACACATTGCACCAGCAGCATTACACATTACTGTGGAATCACACATTACTGTAGCATCACATTACTGTTGCATTACATGCTGTTGCATCACACATTACTGTGGCATCTGTTACTGTTGCATCACCCATCCCACATTACCGTAGCATACATTACTGTTGCATTACACATTACTGTTTGCACTCACACGTGCACAACCAGCATCACACACATTACTGTAGCATACATTACTGTTGCATACTGGCTACTGTAGCATCACACACATTACTGGCATACATTACTGTAGCATCACACATTACTGTTTGCATCACACATTACTGTAAC